AAAAAAAAAAAAAGTTGAGACTTTAGAGGGTTAAAATGTTGTGGGGTTGTTAACCAATGTCATAAAACAGCATGTGTGTTACTGTTATATGAGAAACTATCTGTTCTGTAAGCCTTCACCTGAAGTACAATAAAATATTTTTAAAAAAAAAAAAATTCCTGTCTTAAACCACCAAGACTCCCTTGCAGCTATGGTTCTGGGATACAATTTAGGTTCTGTGATGGAATGCGTTGCTTGCACAGACACAAGTGTCTTCAGGGGCTGACACCACTGTCCACTGTCTGGTCATCAGCTTTGTGGTATCAGAAGCTGGTCAGTGGCAGCAATGATAACCTATCTTATCTGCAGTTTCAGAGCTACGATGTTTGAGCTTGAAGCCAAAAGTACAGGTTGGTCCCTGGATTCTTGCTCTTCCAGCCCTTGCGCCAGCTTCCCTGTATTAAATCACTTTCTGATTGAAATACTTAGAATGGTTCCTGTTAGTTGCATTAAACACTATACAGAACATTCTGTACATCTGATAAGATTTTCATGATGAACACAGTATATTGCAACAAAACCCTGGCGACTTGCCTGTTTATGCATATATTCCTCCATCTATCTATTGTCACATCATTTCATAATATAAGTAATAAGTTTGGAAATGTAATAAAATACAGTAAGCAAAATTTCAGGCTATCACGTAACAATGTGGATTTGCAATTTGTGACTATAATACGGAAATAAAAACATATACGAACTCCCATAGACAGAGAAAATGTGGGAGTTTTACACCATAAAGCAAAAAGAGACATAACTGTATGGAAATCTTTGAATGTGATCAACATTTCAGAGAGAAGAGACCTGCACTATCCTTTACAGTAACCACTAGTCCCGTAAGCTAGTGAGCTAGTGTGAATAAGGACATGAAATTTTATTTAATTGGAGTTAATTTACATTGTAACATCTCAATAATTTTAAAAATTATTGAAATATTTTGTCTGTATTACATTAATTCAAATACAGTAAAATTAATATCACCTGCTTTTTACTTCTTTTAATGCAGAACTAGAAAACTTAAAATTACATATATGGTTCAAATAGTATTTCTATTAATCAGCGCTAAATTATAGCACTTTAGTAATGTCATTATGGGGGGTGGGGAGACAGAGGGTAGAGGAGGATGCCAGCCCATCCAATCAGTTGACTGTACAGACAATACTTAACTTAGATAAAGTATGGTCTAGGGATAAAGATCATATTTGTAAGAAGAGAAGATAAATTATCACATTGAAAAGAATGGGAAATTCCAAATAAAAAAAATATTGTTAAAGAGTATGTAAAATTAATGAGGGAAAAAAAAAACAGGGGGTGTGCATTTTAACTCTGTGTGTGTGTGTGTGTGTGTGTGTGTGTGTACTCTTAGTTGAAATTCTTCAATAGTGTGTATGTATAAGGAATAAAGTCGTGGTGATCTATTTCCAAAAAGTCAGCCCATGAAAACCCTATGGAGCACAGTTCTACTCTGATACACATGAGGTTGCCATGAGGTAGCATCAGCTCAACAGCAATTGAGTGGTGCCAACGGTTAAGTGCTTTACTACTAACCAAAAGGTTGGCAGTTCAAATCCACCCAGAGGCATCTCGGAAGTAAGGCCTGGCAATCTGCTCCCAAAAGGTCATATCCTTGAAAACTCTACGCAGCAGCTCTACTCTCTAACACATGGGGTCACCAAGAGTCGGAACCAACTCTACAGCAACTAATAACAACAACAATAGAAAATAAAGAAGGAAAGGATGGTGGGAGTCTGAATTCATCTACTTCACTACTATATATATATCCAGACACTGGGGACAGAGGCATACTCAAGACAAACTCCAACTGAGAGAGACAGGAAGACATGCATTTATGTATGTAGCAGTTGGTTATTATTATGCGCTTGTCCAGCAAGGAGACAGTGATGGGGGAGGGTAAGGGAATACGAATGAAGAGGGCGCATGCAATGCAAAACCACAGCAGGATCTGCAATATGCCTAAGGAAAAACAAAAACAAAACAAGGGGTGGTGCTGATGGAGAAAGAGGTTGCTTTGAAGCTACATTTGGATCAAGAAAGAAATAAGGAAGGACCAGGTTCTGTGCCCTTTGTTACCTAACAGGTCCTCAGGTATTTGTGGAGTGAGTGACTGAGAGTGAGTGAGACAGTGACTGAGTGAGAGTGAGTGAGACAGTGACTGAGTGAGAGTGAGACAGTGACTGAGAGTGAGTGAGTGAGA